ATAGCCAAATCTTGGAAACAGCCAAAATGCCCATTAACTGGTGAATGGATAAAGGGTGTGTGTGTGTGTGTGTGTGTGTGTGTGTGTGTGTGTGTGTTTAATACAATGGAGTATTACTCTGCCATAAAGAAGGATAAGCTTGCTGGGCATGGTTGTACTGCCTGTAATCCTAGCACTTGGGAGGCAGAAGCAGGAGGATCCTTACCAGTTCAAGACCAGCCTGGACTACAAAGTAAGTTTAAGGCCCCCTGAACTACTTGAGACCCTGTCTCAAAAAGAAAAAAAAGATAAGCTTGACACATTCCTAGGTAGATAGATACATCTTGAGACCATACCCTTAAGTGGAATAAATCGGACACACATTGTTTCTGTGGTGTGAGAAATCAAAAATATAAACCAGGACCAAAATACTTATTAGATATTGGAAGAAATAAGGGGAGAGGGAGAAAGGAAAGGGAAAAGTTAAAAAATGAAAAACATGGAAACACAGCTTTTGCAAATGGGGAGGGCAGAAGGGGTTGAAGAGAAGGTGGGGGAACAAAAAGAATCAAGTTATATCATGTGTAGGTGCAAATTCTCTATGATGAATGTGATCATTATGTACATCTAAATTATACTAATAAAATCTGACTGAAAAAATTACCATGGGCCATAACGTTAGGTGAGATAAATCAGACACACAAGCTTAAACAGCATGTGGTTTCTCTTACACAGGCAACCCAAAGTACAAATGAAGAGCAAAACAGAATGTAATATGAAGTAGGGAGATAGTGCTTTCTCAAACAGGAAGGGATCAAGGGATGGAGGGAGAGGGAAAGGGATGAAAAGGAATGGAGATGTGTTCTGCTTATGCACCACCCCACACAGGAACTGCAAACATTATATACTGCACATATGTAGTAATAAACTGTACCTTTTACTTTTCCAGTTGCAGTAAACTAATATTTACCACAAACTAAAATCATGGTTTTAAAGTTTCTGACAGGTACACTTAAAATGTATTTTACATTGCCAATCCCTGCACACATGCATGTAACATATTTCATACACAATCTAACTCTATTACATATGATACACTATTCTGTCCTATTACAATTAAAGGATATTCTGGTGATCTGCCACAGAATTCATTTCCTGATTTACTTGTCACAGTGTGGGTTTGTATTTCTTATTCATTTTAATGAGAAAAAAGATAAAATAGCAATGAAAGTTTCAAAACAGGTTAGTAGGATAAACTAGGTCGATTATGTTCAGCCTTAATGGTAAAACATTCCCTCTCCCATATACAAGAGCCAGCTAGGCATGGTCCTCAGGAGCCTGGTGTGTCACTGGGTACATGTCTATGAGAGTGTGTCAAAGGCAACATGCCTGTCAGCTCACAGTCACTCCAAGGTCACAGCTCAGACCAGGCTCTCCTGCCCCTTTCCTTGACAACCAGCACACTGAGTGGTTTTAGTTTTTCTCAAGCTTGAAACTGGAGGCTGGTCTAGCTGGTAACTGCAGAAGCTATGCACAGCACTGGGAATTTCTAGTGTGATGGGAGCTGGGAGGAGCACACCTTATTAAAACGAAGTAGAGAACTGCTCCAGGAACTGGCTCTGCACTTTTCTCTTCATAGGCACCATTCCTGGGGCCTATTTCTCAAGCTGTGCCACGCTACTGGGACTCTTGCAGAGGGCTAGAATAGAGTGGGGGTCTGGCTGCATAGGCTTAGCAGTGCTGTGAGCCTGCCACCTTCTTCCTCCTCCTTGGCTGGATGGCTCTGGAACTCACCGTGCCCTAATAGTCCCTATGTTGGTCACCTGAGCATGTCTGACTCCAGCATCCAAGGCCCAATGGTACTTAATGTGGGGACATGACACACTGCTGCTTCACCAGCTGAGCACGAGAAAGTCAAAGGCCAAGTGAAAGGTATCCACGGGAACGCTGAGTTACTTCACAATAAAGAGAGCCACAGAGGGGCTCTCCTAGATTTTCTAAAAATTTTTTTATTTTTTATTTTTATTTTTTTATTTTATT